GTATGTCATAACTGCACATCCTTCTAGTTGCTGTATGTGGGACACGGCCTCAGCATGGCCGGAGAAGCGGTGCGTCGGTGCGCGCCCGGGATCTGAACCCGGGCCCCCAACAGCAGAGCATGTGCACTTAACCGCTAAGCCACGGGGCCAGCCCAGTAGTGAAATGTTTAAATTCCTTTCTCATTTCCTTTTGTGTATAACCTATAGCTATTGTCTTGTGATTACCATGAGGATTACATTTAATATTCTAAAGTTATAATACTCTGATTTAATTTATACCAGCTTAACTTCAATAACATGCAAAAAGTCCGCTCCTTTACAGCTCTGTCCCCACCCTTTTTGGTTCTCGATGTCACAAAATTACATCTTCATACATTGTGTGCCCCCAAACAAACTAGTAATTCTTTTAAATGCATTAGTCTCTTAAATTATGTAGAAAACAAAATGTGGAGTTACAAAGTTACAATAATACTGGCTTTTAGACTAATAATTTTAAAAATGTATTAGTGACTTAAATCATATAGAAAACCAAATGTGAAATTAAACCATTGTCACAGTTAATAGTAGCTTTTATAATTGCCCATGTATTTACCTTTATTGACATCTTTATCTCTTCACATGGCTTCAAGTTACTGTTTAGTGTTTCATTTTACCCTGCAGGACTCCTGCCAGCATTTCTTGCTGGGCAGGGCTAGTGGTAATGAACTCCCTCAGCTTTTGTTTATCTGGGAATGTCTTTATTTCTCCCTAATTTTTGAAGGACAGTTTTACTAGATAAAGGAATCTTGGTTGAGTTTTATTCCTTAGCACTTTGAATATACTGGCCCACTGTCTTCTAGCCTCCAAAGTTTCTGATGAGAAATTTGCTGATAATCTTATTGAGGATCTTGTATGTGATGTGTCACTTCTCTTCTGCTGCTCTCCCTCACTTTTGAAGGACAGTTTTGCCAGATGTAGTATTCTTGCTTGACAGCTTTTTTCTTTCAGCACTTTGAATACATCATCCTTCTGACCTGCAAGGTTTTGCTGAGAATATGCTTATAATCTTATACAAGCTCCCTTGCATGTGATGGAGTCACTTTTTTCTCGCTGCTTTCAAGATTCTGTCTTTGAATTTTGACGGTTTGATTATAACATGGCTTGGTGTGGGCATCTTTGGGTTACCCTTGTTGTAGTTGAGTTTCTCGAATTTGTATGTCCATTTCTTTCCTCAGACTTCAGAAGTTTTTGGTCATTATTTCTTCACATAAGCTCTCTGTCCCTTTCTCTCTTCTCCTTCTGGGACTCCCATAATGCATATATGGTCCACTTAATGGTGTCCCATAGTCCTTTAGGCTCTCTTCAATTTCCTTCATTCTGTTTTCTTTTTGCTCCTGTCTCAATGATTTCAAATGATCTTTCTTCAAGTTCATTGATTTTTTTTCTTTTGCCCAATCAAGTCTGTTGAATCCCTCTAGTGAATTTTTCAATTCAGTTATTGTATTTTTCAGCTCCAGAATATGTTTGATTCTTTCCTATAGTTTTTTTCTTTTTTGTTTAATATTCTCCTTTTGTTCATGCATCATTTTCCTACTTCATTTAGTTGTCTATCTGTGTTCATTTTTAGTTCCTTGAGCATTTTTAAGATGGTTTAAAAAAATTCTTTGTCAGGAAATCGAGAGATCTGTGTCTCTTTAGGGTTAGTTTCTGGAGCTTTATTTTGTTCCTTTGATTGGGTCACATTTCCCTGTTTCTCTGTATGCCTTGTAGTCTTTTGAGATTCAAACATTTGGAAAAACAACCACTTTTCCCAGTCTTTATCCACTGAGTTCATGCAGGACAAAATCTTCACCAATAAGCCTGGCTAGAGATTCTGGGATGTCTCAGATCCTTTCTGGGGATGTGTCTTCTCTGGGCTTGTGGGTGAGCTTTTATCTGTTTTAATTTCCTGAGTGGCCTGCCCCTATTTCTTCTCAGGAGCCTGCAGTCTCTTGCTCCCCTGGCATCTGTCTGTGGAACTGCATATTCTCTGCAGCTCTAACATACCACAGTGCTTGCCTCTCTTTTCAGCAACTTCCAAACTATGCCACAATTCCTATCAGTGCTCTGAGTCAGGCAAGGCAGAAACTGTCCCTCAAGCAGCCCCCTATTAAGCCAGAACACAGGACTCAAAGTCCACTCTTTTGTTTCCATCCCAAGGGAGGAGCTTGGGTATGAGAAGTTTCCTCCCAGTTGCACCATGCTATGTTAGGTAGTGGGAGCAGCATGGGCACACAAAATACTGCAAACTTTCCTACTCCTTTCAATGGAGTCTGTCTTGGTTATGCATTAGCCTGGTTACTACAGCTTCTCAAATGGTCTCGAGTTTTCACAAAAGTATACTGGTCCATATATTGTTGTTAACTTGGTGTCTCCATGGGGGAACAAAGGCCTGGAGCTTCCTTGTCTACCACCTTGGTGATGTTTCCCAGATCATTCTTTCTTAAAGGCCTATGTTATTTTGCTCCAAGCTGGACTGATTGCTCTCTAGGTCTACTATTTTCTGTAATGTTAGGACTTCTCTTTACTAACCTCCTGGATTAGATCTAGTGTTCCCTGGATCTTGTGCCTCCCTGTTTTTTGATTATTCCCCCATTCTTTCGATACATACTTTCAAGTCACCTCCTAAGAAATGGCATTTTCAAGTTCCTACATGTTTGGAAATGTCTTCATTCTATCCTCACATTTGACTAACAGTTTGGCTGAGTATAGAATTCTAAATTGAAAAGAATTTGTTCCATCCAAGTCCTTTTGGGTCAGCAGACAGAAAGCTGGCAGTTAAGTTTAGGGATCCCTAAAGGTCAGAATGCAGAAGACTTTTTTTCTGGAGCACCAACTTTATACTAGCTGCCTTCATTTATGACAGATGGTTCATTCAATTTCTTGAGACAATGAATCCTCTGACTTTTCACCTGAAGGGTAGGTAACCTGGCAACTGAACTTTCTGTACAAGAATAGAGAGGTTGTCAGTTCCATCTACAAACTTTCAACAAATCTACAGCCCATATCTAATGCCAACCCTTTTATATATTATGTTTCTGAGTCCAAAATCTCTGTGTTCTAAAAGGCAGATTTCCTCTCTCCTTGGCCGCAACCCCTTCCACATGTATTCTAGCCTGTGGCTTTCTCTGCCTAGCTTCATCAGTTATCACTCTTAATTTCCTTTAGACTTTCTAATCTTCATTCAAATCTATTCGCCTTCCCCATATTTTCATTGCCATGGATTTATAGCCTTCTCTATTCACTCACTATCATTTTTAATGGGATCTCAAGTAGGAGAGGGATAAGCGAAAGTATTCAATCTTGAACTGGAAGACAGCATATATCATTTCCATAGGAATTGTTTTGGTGAGGGTGGGATTATAAGGAGGGAATAATGGCAAAGACTTTACTGTCAGATTTGCTGTCACTTTTGTTTCTAGTTAAAACTTCCTCTGCAAAAGATACACCCTCATAATTGTTATCTTACCTCTTCCTCCATGACATAAGTGAGCAGCTTCCAGTCCCACTCCACTGTCTTGGCATTAGCTGGATGTAGCCTGAAAGTTAAGTGACATCAATTAGAATTCTGGAGAGTTTAGTGGAATAAGGGAAGGGATCTGGAAGATGACAGAAGTGAGAAGCCTCCTCTTATCCTCAGTGCTCTTGCCCACTCTTTGATACAATACTATGTCATCTGAGGGAAATGGAACTTCATTGTTTTTTGCTACCCAGTATCCACTTCTCTTTGGGAGGCAGTAGTATCCTAATTTCCCTTGAAGAAATCAACTCTTTATTACTCTTAGCCCACTGGTTTACCTACTAGGATCCTGGGATGAAGCCTGTGAAGCATGTTGAGCCAATCATGATATTCTACCCCTCAGTTCACAGTAATTGGCTCAAAGATGGGCTCATGTCTTATGTTATGCCAATTAAAGCCTACAAGACTCAATTTCAGAACTCTTCTGTGGTTATAAAGGAACTGGACTCTTCCACTGAGACTGTCATAAAAGCTGGAGGCTGAGAAGACTACCATGTGGAGCCTGAAAACAGAAGCAAAGCAGAGCTGAAAAATGGATCCTGGTAACCAATTTTGAACTGAATTGAGTCACATCTCACTCCTAGGTTTCTAGTAACATTAGTCATTAAATTCTCTTTTAACAGCTGTTAAAACCAGTTTGGACTGGGTTTCCTGTCACTTGCAAGCCAAATAACACCAATACACTAAGTCACCCTCTCTAATGGTCAGCTGAAGAAAGCTCAGGCAAGAGAAAGCTGTGCCCTGAGTCCAGGTTCCCTAGAAGATTCACCAACATCTAAGGTTCATACTGTTGAATTTTCATGAGAAGCATGTAGGCCTCCTTTAGGACATCCACGGTCTCAGAGCCACTGAGCAGGATTTTCTGGATGATATGAGCCACAATTTCTCTGGGTGGATAATGCTGGGGTGACACAAAGTCCATCAAAAACTGCACAGTTCCCAGGGGAAAATTTTCTTCAATGGTGTTTGTTACCATTCTTAGTCTTCGATGAGGGATGGGTTCTAATTTTTGACCCTTGCTCTGTAGAGATAAAAAGAAATAAATGAGGATGGGTTTCTACAGACATAAAAATAAGAGGTTCTGGAACACGTTGAAGATAGCAACATTTTCCATGCATTTGAAATATTCATAATTTTTAAAAAAGAGACTGGAAAGCCTTATCTAAAAAACTTTTAATGACATGGAAAATGTTTATATTAAGTTAAAAAATGAGAATTCAAAGTTCTACATATAACATGATTTCATCTTTGTTAAAATATAGCATAGAAGGGAAGCACAAAAGAGTCAAGAGCTGGCCTAAGTTGATTCTGGACTGAGGGTGATAAGATCTTCAGGAGCAGTTATGATACTATATCAGATACTGAAATAAAGAGATGAAGAAAGATGTTTCAAATATGTTTTATTGTTAGGAGAAGAATCCCATTTTGTTGATTTTTTTTTTTTGAGTCAACAGTAAATATTAAGTTGCTTTCCCCCCAAATAAAGTATGTATATAAAGACTGGGAGAGAATATGTGAAAAGTAGTTTTCTATTATCTGGGTGGTGGAATTTGGATGGTTTTTCTCTTATATGCTCTTCCGTATTTTTCAGTTTTTCCACAATAGACATACATAACTTTTATAATCAGAAGAAAAACATGAAAAAGGTTTGTTTGATACAGGAATATAACAACAACAATTATAATAATAATTTTTGAACATTTATCCTCAATTCTCACAACAACCCTAAGAAATACATACTATTATTATTTCTATTTTATAGATAAGGAAACTGAGATTTAGAGAGTAAGCATTTGTCATACAACAAATGGCAGAAGCTAGTTTCATATATGGGTGGTATAACTCCAGAGCTACCCTCTAAACTTGCGCTCGCTATAAACAACAAAACCAACAATAAATATATTTTTGTTAAAAATCTCAATTATTAAAAAATTTATAAAAAGGCAACTAGGAAGGAAATACACCAAATTATTAGCAATAATAAATGTTGACTGATAGCACCATGGGTAATTATTTTTTATATTTTGTATTTTAAAATGTTTTATATTAAGCATTATTTTTAAAATCTGAGAACAAGTATTGATTTTAAAACACCAAACAAAGATCTGACAGCCTATGTATAATCATAAAACAGTGATGGTGGAATTGCCCTTCTAGAAAATCTTCTGGAGAAGAGAAGTCTAGTTAGCTTTCCTTATGTCTCAAATTACCCGAGGGTAACCCTTCATCTCTCTGATGAGAGACCAATACTGTAAATGGCATGTAATGAGCATTAAGGGTGAGGGAAGAGAAGAGGAGAACAAAAATCGTTGGTGACTGTTTTATGTGTGATGCACTTTATAATCTTGAACCTGTTTTATTCATTTCTTGCCTACAAATGGGGACCTCTACAAACAGATACAGTTTATAAATTGTTTTGATGCCTGTGTCCTTAAGGGGAACTAATATTTATAAGGACTTTTACAGGACCTGAAAGGTGGCTTTGTGCTTTATGCGTTTACCTGTAAGTCAAACCTCTCTATGATATGGGCATTATGACTTACTTTAGGGCTAAACAAAAAGAGACTCAGAGGAGTTAAGGCCAGTGCTGGTAAGTGGCAGTGTGAGGACTGGCTGAGAAGTTCTGGGGGAAAATGACCTAGTGAAGGAGTACTTATTAAAAGCCCAAAAGAAATCATAGGAGAGACAGAAAAGATTTACAGATGTATTCTAGATGGCTGAGTTTCTTTAAGAAGGTAAGAAATAAAGATGAAGAAGAAAAATCCACTTTGTCTAGCCTAATTGCCACTTCATAATCCAAGCTATGTGTACACAGAAGCGGGTGTGGTCTCCCCCTCTGCATCTACAACAGCTTCTCTAGTCATGTGCCACCTACAAAGCACTACAGCCTTCACCAGGGAACCAGCTCTCTCCAGTCTCCCAAGTGCTCTTCATAATGGACAGATGTATCACCAACCTGAGGCAAACCCACAGGAAAAAAGAGAATTGAGCTAGTGGTTGGGGACAGTCATTCGGAAGGAGAAGACATACAACATATTAGAAGATATAACAATTAAAATGAGAGAAAAAAATTCACTCTCCAAGGCCAAATCAGTGTGAATGCCTGACGTGTGCTAAGCTGAATCACTGATTGCTCCAACAAGGAGAATGTACTTTTTGACTTCTTGAACTACTTCAAGCCAGTCTTTACGTTGGAATGTGGTTATGGATGCTGAGAAAATAGCTTCATATTGCGGGACTTAGCCACAATTTTTTTTTCTTACATATCTGGTTTAGTTTTCATAGATCAACGAAGACCAATGGGAAGTAGCATTCCTACTAAAACCTTAAAATTGAATCCCACCCCCCCACAAGTCAGAAAGCAATAATTTTGCAGGCACTGAAGTGTCAAGAGTATTACTATCTCTGCAATATGGGAGCTGTAATAAGGACACAAGGAAGGGAAAGGCATAGGAATTGAAGAGAAATATCTGATGAAGGCCTATGACGAGCCAGATACTCTAACAGGCACTTTACATATGTTCTCTCATTTAGTGATCCTACGAGATATGTTCTTATCTCCATTTTACAGATAGGAAAGCTAAGGTTCAGAAAGGTAAAGTGACATCTACAGTGCCAGTTTTTAAGTGTGGGGCTGAAACTTGAACCTGGATCTGACTCTACGCTGAATGGTTCCACAAGTGAGGGAAAGATAAAAATGTCAAACTTATACTGGGCCTGTCCTCTTGTGCATGGACCCCTTATAGCGTACTAACATTATCCTAAGCCTACACAAAGGATACCTAATCTCTAGGGGAAGATACATTAGCTCACCTCTCTCGTGTCTTTATCTGGTATGAGTGTCTGGAAGAAGAGGTGATGCACTGGAGGTCGTAAGAAGTACTTCAGTCTGTGCAGGCATGGTCTGTTGTATAAACCACCTTGTGGTGTTCGTGCTTGTACCTGGGCAGACCCGGGGTTGGCAGGCTCTGAGAATGGTATCTCTTTTCTGGCTGGAGTTTCTATGGCAGAGAGCCAAGAAACTTTCTCTAAGGAAATTTTAGACTGTGGAGATTGTGGGCTGGGAGAGCAGCTTGGAGAGGATGGAGTTGAGATATCCATGGGAGTGTCATGGTTCTGTACATCATTTTGGGGAGAGTCAAGCCTGTCTTGTGGTAACAGAGGCAAGTCTCCAAGTGAGTGTGGCATGTTTCCCAGCAAGCGTGGCATGTCTCCAGGTGAACGTAGCACATCTCCTGGTATGTATGGGACTTCTTTAGGTGAATGTGGCACACTTACTGGTGACTGTGGCACATCTCCTGGTGACTGTGGCACATGTCCTGGTGACTGTAGCACATCTGCTGGTGACTGTGGCATGTCTGCTGGTGACTGTGGCGCGTCTGCCAGTGACTGTGGCACGTCTCCTGGTGATTGTGGTGTATCTCCTGGTGGCTGTGGCATGTCTCCCAGTGACTGTGGCATATCTTGTAGGTGTGCCACATCTTGAGGTAGGCCCAGAGAGTCTTGAGGTGGGCTTGGTGAGTGTTGAGGACGCCATGATGAGTCTTGAGGTGGGTCTGGCATATTCTGCTGAGGGCATGGGACATTCTGAGGGCATGGCACATCTTGAGGAGGGCATGGCACTTCTTGAGGCAGGTGAGGCATAGCTTGTAACTGGCACTGCATGGTTTGTGATGGGCACGACAAGGCTCGTGGTGGGCATGAGGACGCTCGTGGTGGACATGGTGAGGCTCGCAGTGGGCATGGCAAGGCTCGCAGTGGACATGGCAAGGCTTGTGGTGGGCAAGGCACATCTTGCTGTGGGCATGGCAAGGGTGCCTTTTGATTGCTGCTGCTACCATTATTGCTTGTTGGGGAGATGGAGTGAACATCTGAAGATAGCTGTAGGCTTGCCAAGAAACTGAGGTCACCTTTGAAAGTGGTTGAGCTACAATTTGGCTCCACTGGATAAACAGAGTCCCCACTGATGGATGTAGGGGGTTGGGGACCTTCAAATGTGGTTTCTTCCAAAAGGTCCAAATCCACAAGATCGCTGTTAATGATTCTTCGTGCTGCAGGCCGAGAGCTTCTGTCCACCCGCCCTTCCATCACCTCTTTGCTGGAGAGGCTGGCACATGTTTGAAGACTGGTTGGCTCCTTCTGGGAGGGAGCAACTGGTTCTAGAGTCAAGTCAAGAGTGGCAATAGGTCTATTTTCTTCCTCAGTTCTTGTTAGGTCAATCACACAGAGTCCATTGCGATCCTTTGCCCTTGGTCTTGTTTCTCTAGTTAAGTCAATGAAGTCCTGTTGAAGGATTGTGAGAAGATAAGAGGTCAAGTAGGGAGTTTCAGCTTTATCTAAGAAGACTTAAATCTTAGCTTTTATGGAAAAGCATATTTTACCTTTGCACTTCACTGACAATTTACACTTCTTGTATAACATAAGCATTAGTTTATTTTCTTTGATCAAAATTTTGCTACTCTCAAAGATGTGAATTTCTATACCATCTTAAATCATTCAAATGCCACATGCACATAACTGAGGGCATAGTGGGAAATGTTTTCTGATCCAATGTGGACAGAGGAGTAGTAGGGAAGATTTCAACTTTCAGTCACAAAGTAAAAAGCAACCTTTGTTTAGAAAACCAAATACACAGGATAACCTGCACCAAATGCTAAAGAAGAAGGAAAGCTAATATAAGAGAATCTACCACGTGCTAAGAACATATTGAGTGCTTTCACATGTCTTTATTTTCACACTGACCCTATCACGTAGGCATTATCATCTCCGTTATACAGATGGGGAAACTGGAATTCAGAGGGGTTAGGTTGTTTACCTAAGGATTATACAGCTAAGTAGCAGAGACACACATTCATACCCAGATCTGTTTCCTTCTTTCCCTGTTAGGGCCTTCATTCAATATATAATCAACCTATTGTCAGATATGGAGGATAATACAATAAGGGTTATAAAACCGACAGTGTACATGTGAGCCCTGACTCTATTAATTACTGGAAAACCTCCTATCTTCACCCCCATTAGTCAGCAAAATGATCAGGCAGTTCATAAAGCGTGATGATGCCAGCCAGAGGTACTATAATCAACCTTTGTGCCGGGAGCCTCGGAACAATATGGCTGAACCTTTCAGGTGTCTCCTCACCTGGTTAGGTACCATTGCCACTGGTATGTTAGGTACCAATTGCTGGGCTAGCAATGCTATTGCTGCTACCACAGCTACCATGCTATTTCTCTTAATAGATAAGATGGTCACCATTGTCAATGACACCAAAACAGGGCAGAGGGTTCTGGGTGGGGCAAGTGAGAAGTTGGCATGCACCTCATCCTGGAATAGGGATTACTCAGTGAAACCTAAAGCCTCATTCCTATGAAGCAGCCACACAGTATCCCTGCCTTCGGTGGCTCTCTACTGCTAGCTGAACTCAACACAAATAGTTGTAAGGCCATAGAGGATCTGAACTTAACTCGTCTTCCATTGCCAACTGCTAAAATGCAATATTACCATGTCTCTCCCACTTAAAACTCACCATGTGAGCTACAGGGTAAAGGACAAATGCATTAGTAAGAGCCATAAAGTCCTTCATAATAAGGACTGCATTTAGCTCTCCCTGACTATTCTCCCCCCTCACAGGATCAAATCACACAGAACTACTACAGACCCCTACGTGTGCCATGCTTTCTCAGGTATTTTTATCTTTGTTTATGTTTGCTTATGTTCTTTGCTTTTGCCTGGAATGATTCTTATCCCTTTGATTGTTTGGAAGTTTCTTGTCTTTCAAGACTCAGCACAGATATCACTGTGTGTGAAATCCTTCCATATCACTTCTCATCCCGGATTAAATTAATCATTTCCTCCTTCATATCCCCACTCTTTATCCCAAAGAATTTAATGTTTTTTAATGATATTGAAAATGGGAATAATTTTTTGTCATTTTCCAATTATTCATTGCTACTATCTAGAAATATTATTGATTTATATGTATTATCCCTGTATCCTCTGACCTTGCTAAATTCACTTACTAGTTCAAGTAATTTTTTTGGTAGACTCCTTAGAGTTTTCCATATAAAAAATCATGTCGTCTGCAAATAAAGAAGTTTTACTTCTTCCTTTCCAAACTGTATGCCTTTTATTTCTTTTTCTTGCCTATCACAGTGGCTAAGGCCTTCAGTATAATTCTCAAAAGAAGTATCATCATTAAGAGTAAGGCTAGCTGTGGGGTTTTCAAAGACACCCTGTATCAGGTTGAGGAAGTTCCCTTCCTTTTCTAGTTTTCTGAGAGTTTTAAGTGGGAATCATTGTTAAATTTTGTCAAATGGCTTTTCTGCACCTGTTGAAATATATTATGAATTTTTTCCCTTTGTTCTATTAATATCAAAAATTATATTCATTGATTTTCTAATGTTAAATTAATCCTGGGAAAAACTCCACTTGGTTATGATGTTTTATTCTTTTTCTTTATTGTTGGGTTTAATATATCAATTTTTTTTTAAAGAATTTTTGCATATACATGAGATATTAGTTTGTAGTTTTCTATTCTTTAATTTCTTTTACTGGTTTTGCTATCAGAATAAAATTGGCCTTATAAAAATGACTTGGGAACTATTCCCACCCTCTCTATTTAGGTTGTGTTGGATTGGTACTATATCTTTCTTGAATGTTTGATAGAAATCACCAGTGAAACTATCTGGGCCTGAAATTTGCTTTGTAGGAAAGTTTTTAATTACAAATTCAATTCTTTTAGTAGACATAGGGCTATTAACATTCTCTTTTTTTTTTTTCCTGTGAGGAAGATCGGCCCTGAGCTAACATCTGCCAAACCTCCTCTTTTTGCTGAGGAAGACTGTCCCTGGGGTAGCATCTGTGCCCATCTTCCTCCTCTTTATGTGGGACGCCACCACAGCATGGCTTGCCAAGCGGTGCTTCGGTGCGCACGTACTTAACTGTTTGCGCCACCGGGCTGGCCCTCTATTAACATTTTCTATTTCTTCTTGTTTTATTTGTGACTTGTGGAATTTGTACAAATTGTCAAATTTATTAGCATAAAATTGTTCACAATAGTCCCTTATTATTTTTTAATTCTATATAGATTTATTCACAATTACTTTTTTTATTCCCAATATTGGTAAATTGTAGCCTCTGCATTTTTTGTCCCTGATCAGTCTAGCTAGAAGTTCATCAATTTTATTGATTCTTTTCAAAGAACCAGGTTTTTCATCTGTTTTCTATTTCATTTATTTATTTGTTATCCTTATTATTTCCTTCCTTCTACTTACTGCGGATTTAATTTGCCCCTCTTTTTCTATTTCTTAATGTGGAAGCTTACATAACTGATTTTCAAAATCTTTCTTTTCTAATATTAGCATTTAAAGCTAAAAATTTCCCTGTAAGTAGTGCTTTAGCTTAATCTGACAATTTTTTTTTTTTGTGAAGAAGATCAGCCCTGAGCTAACATCCATGCTAATCCTCCTCTTTTTGCTGAGGAAGACCGGCTCTGAGCTAACATCTATTGCCAATCCTCCTCCGTTTTTTCCCCAAAGCCCCAGTAGATAGTTGTATGTCATACTTGTACATCCTTCTAGTTGCTGTATGTGGAACGCGGCCTCAGCATGGCTGGAGAAGCAGTGCGTCGGTGCGCAGCTGGGATACGAACCTGGGCCGCCAGTAGCGGAGCGCGCACTTAACCGCTAAGCCACGGGGCTGGCCCATGACAATTTTTAATATATAGTCATTTTATTATTATGTAGTTCAAATTTATTTTCCTTATGGTCAGAAAACAAACCCTGTAAGATTTCAATCTTTTGAAATACATTAAGACTTATTTTATGTCCTAATACATGGCCTACTTGCTGAATGCTCCTTATGCACTTGAAAAAAAATGTGCCTCCTGCAGTTGTTGGATATAGTTCTACAAATGCCTTTTAGGTCACGGATCTTGATAGTGGCTTTCAGATCTTTGATTTTTTTACTTTTAGGGGGGATCCAGTTGTGCTATCAATTAATGAGAGAAGTGTATTAAAGTGTCCAACTATGATTGTGGCTTTGACTATTTCTCCCCTTAGTTTAGTTTTTACTTCATGTATTTTCAAATTCTGTTTATTAGGTGCATATACACTTATAAATTGTTATATCTTCTTAATGTATTAACCCCTTTATCATTATGAAGGATCTCTCTTAGTTTCCAGCAATCCTCCTTGTATTGAAGTCTATTTTTTCCTGGTATTAATATAGCCACTCCAGATTTCTTATGCATATTGTTTGCATGGTATATTTCTATCCTTTTATTCTCCATGTATCTGTGTCTTTGTGTTAAAGTGCATCTCATATAGATAGCACATAGTTGGCTATTGCTTTTTTGTCCAGTCTGACAATCTCTGTCTTTTGATTAGCGTTTTTGGTCCATTTACACTTAATTGTTGACATATTTGCTTTTAAATC